CACAGAGACCAGCAGTTACTCGGTCCTGACAGCACCAGGACCCATGTTACTATAACTGGCACTGAAAATATGACGCTTGGCTACCAACCTAACAGACCTGAACAGCATCTTCGGCTCACATGTGTAGTGTAATACGTTAAAGCCACTCTACCATGCTGTGTAATAAACTCATAATGGTCATGTCATCTGCTAGAAAATCATTACAACAGGACACAGTATCTGAGGTTTAAGTGTTCTCGTCATTGATGTTTTTAATGTTTGGTTGCAAAATGCCAAATGTGATTAGTGAGTACTGCAAAATCTCTGCCAGTCAAGTTCCTTTTTAGTAAGCAAAGCTGGTTTACAAAAAAGAGTCCAAACACAGTCACAGTTTTTAATTAGGGCAGACTGGTCATGGTCTCAGACAGATCAGACTAGACCACCATCATGGTCCCTTCTGATCTCAAAGTCTCAGAGACAGAGTCTTGTCACAAAGAGAATTTGATTTGAAAATGTTACTGTTCAATTTTTATGTTTATGTTAAAAGTTCCGGCACTCGGAAAGCAGTCAAATGCAGAGTGGAAGCACGTCATTAGACTCTTGGAGGAGAAAAAAAGCCAGCGTGGAGGAGAAAAAAGCAAGATAGTCCCATGTGCTAGGAAAAAGCTTAGCTGAGGCAGGGCAGGTATTATCACCCCCTTTTCAGAGAGGAGGAGACTGATGTAGAGAGACGAGGTAACGCTCAAAGCCAAAGAGCGAGTTGGTTTCAGCGGTGGAATTAAACTCACAACTTCCTGGCTGCCTATCAGGAGACAAAAATGTCTGAGCACGGGAACGATTAACACTACGTGTTACCCGTCCCATTGCGACCGTAGACATACACGTGGCCTCCTCCCTTCCTGCTGCTCTGAGGCCAGGGAGGCTGGAGTCACGTGGCCTCCTCCCTCCCCGCTGCTCCCGGGAGCGGGAAGGGGGCGCACGTCCTCTTCCCTCCCCACTGCTCCAGGGATGCTAGGCTGTACATGCACTCTTCCTCTCCCCATGGAGGGGGAGGGGTGTGTGCTGTTCTTCTCCTACCCTCCCCGTGGTGGGGCCTCAGCAGAGGGGGCAGGACTGTAGGTAGGGCCAGGGGCCTGTCTCCCCCTAGAAACTTTTCATGTCTTCTCAAATGTTCTCTGTGACAGACGGCGTGACGGACACCTCTCCTTTTATAATAGTACAGATTACAGACTGTAAACTCATGAAATAGAATGCTCTCACCAAACATGCACACAGAAGAACCTGCAATCCAGGAACGATGTTTTGAATGACAGATGTATACGTCCCAACATGCCCAAGCCTAGCCGAGTTCTACTAGAGTAGACTGATGCCCCCGATCACATCATCTGCCACACATTTGAAATTAGAAATACTGCATAAGCGAAGGGAAAGCGCTCCTTTAGATAAGCAGCACAGAGCCATTTACTATGGCTTGGTTTCTGGGAGTAGGAAGGGGAAGACACAGCAGGAAAGAGTTAGAGTTAGCAAGTAAAAAAGGTAGCTGCCAGTTCTACACATGAATCAATTTCCAGCAACAGACAAAATGATCCTAAGAAAGGTGATAAGGAATAAGAAGAAACCCTGAATTAGGATGGAAACTTCTGCCGGGAAAAAATCATGGTGGGAGAATTCAGATGACATGTCAAACCTAGGCTCCAGACAGGAGATAAATAAGGGTTCCTGATCAGCATGGTTTTATGCTTGAAGCATGCTGCTGTTTTTTTTTTTTTTTTAAAGTCATCTCACTCCCTCTGATTCAGCACTGATTCTTCCCACAACAGAGCATCGGTTTCTTTTAGCTGTACCTTGCTTGTTGGTCCTTAGAAACAAATTCTTACAAGACTTTGGAAAATTAAACTCTTCCTCTGTTCCCTCCCACAGGGAAAAAGTGGGCC